CTCTCTCTCTCTCTCTCTCTCTCTCTCTCTCTCTCTCTCTCTCTCTCTCTCTCTCTCTCTCTCTCTCTCTCTCTCTCTCCATTCCTTCTAAACTCTTTAACCCTTAACCCTTCCGTCACCCCTTCCCCCCCCTATGGCATGTGACTAACCTCCACCCTCACGTGTCACATGGCCAGGGAACGAACTGGAAGGAACTTAGTCCTCACTTGGTGGAAAGCGAGGGCAAGGGAAGGGCAGCCGGTCCCTTGTCACAATAAGAAGGGAAGGATACTGAACTATTGAGAGCAATTGCGAAAGCGGAAAGAAGTGTTGATTTTGGGCGAGGTCAGTTTGACTCAACCACCTCCCCCGACTGCATGACTAAGGTGAATGCATGGGCTGCTTGAGGGAAGAGAGGGGCAAGAAAACCAAAGGACCATGGTAGGGAGAGGGAAACTTAGGCTCGCAGGAAGGGGCAATGTGTTGACCCCAATGGGGATTGTACTTGGACATTTGTTTTCGTGTGGTCATGCGCAGGTGAGTAGCTTGGGACTATTCAGACGGGCTTGATCTACGGATGAGGACTGAAATGGGAGATTTGGCTATGGGAAAAGGACTTGGACCCGGCTTAAGTCGCGGGTGCGGGTTGAGTTTGAGACCGGTACTTGGGTGAATATTTGATGCATGGACTCGGCTTGCGTGGGATTGCATGGAATGTCTCTCTCATGTGCGATGCGACGCCTAAAAAGACTAAGGGCGGTCTTTGGTAGGTGGATGTGATGCTAGCGGTTCTCGCAAAAAAAAAAGGGGAGAATATTGCGGCTAGGGGTTCGGGCGACGCGGCCTCACCCCAAGGATGCCGCCGGGACTGCCGAGGGCCGCTAGGCTTAGTGAAAAGGTGTGTGGCCCAATGGATGACGCTTGGCCTGCGCACGATAAGAAGATGAGACCTCAATGAACTCCCTGGACTGCCTGCGTATTGGAAGGAGCAATTGTCTAGTCAAGCCTTAATGAATCAAGAAAACACCACGAGTGCCGAAAAACTACCATCTTGACGCGAGAGCGGAGCTACATCCCCCAATGTAAAGCCCTCTCGCAAAAGGCCCATCCCCATCCATCTCAAAGCAATAGGTGGGGGTGCCCCTGGGACAAACGACCCGCGCCCTGAGCATGAGCGTGGGCGGGTCGAGCCAAATGGGACCCGCAGTGGGGTCGACCGAGGCTCGAAAGTCCTTAAGGGTACAGCCCTACAACGTCCTTGAGAGATGGGTTATCATCTTCCACGAGTTTAGGTTCGGTGGGTCGCAGCGGGTCAATGCGATATGCACTGACTCCGCTTCTGTGTACATGAGGGCTACAAAGGCAATGGCCTCGCCGATCATGCCTCTTGCACTGAGGAGGATCATTTGGCTCTCGTGCTCCGTCCATGGCTGCAACAAATTGTTGTCAGACATGGAGACGAGTTGCCACACGTTTGTTAATACAATCACATGCGCTTGTATGTTAGTGGTGTTTTTCAAAACCCACCCGGCCGCCCTTCATTTTTTCAGGAGGTGCAACTCCGACAAGGGCCTTAGTCTTTCCTGCGAGAAGCGGTTCGCGTGTGTTTATTCCATGTTGGAGAGACTCTTGTCTCTGCAGGACAGTTTGCAAGACATGATGCGAGGGGACGACTCGCGGGCTTTGGCTTCCATCCCGTGGCCCGCTGATGTGTGCACCATGGCGCGTTGGGTGCGCTGACAGATCAGATGGGATCCTTGGTGGTTGAGGGTGGCCACCATCGTCCATATCATGGAGCCCGTGATGCAGTTGCTTAGGCGGATGGATTGTGGAGGTCAATTCATGTCACTCATGATCGAGTGGACACAGGATCTTGTCCACCGTGTGACAGACGCATGTGCTCCTTTGGGATAGTCCTTCGCTGACCGGATCATCAGGCGTGTGCAGACCCGCACACAACACATGCTTGAGCCGACTCACTGCGCTGGGTTCTTACTGAACCCCCGTAGGCAACATGTTCAGTACTTTTCATGCGAGGTGGCAGGGTACCATGCTTGGCTTGTGAGGCAAGCCAAGAAGTACATTCTGACGTAGACGGGTTTCGAGTTAGACGGTGTGAATTACATCGTTGCCTGTCATCAGCTTGAGGACTTTCATATGCAGCAGGGCAGGTTTGGCGATTGGGGTGGGGCGGAGGGGTGTGCTCATGGGCGCGCGTGTAGCGGCGACGCCGAGAGGATCGAGTATGCGTCTTGGTGGTCCCAGTACGGGGCCGGTGCGCCCGAGTTGCAGCGGTGCGCTCTTCGTGTGATGCACATGTGGTCCTACGCCTCTCCAGCGGAGAAGAACTGGGCAGTCCACGAGGGCATCCACACGAAGAAGTGCAACCAGTTGACCTTCGAGAAGGTCGTGCAACTGGTTGAGATCACCGCAAATGTGCGGTTGACAGAGTATCGACGGGCAGGACGCGGTTATGTGCTGTCATGGCAGCGGGACGAGGGCATGCTCGACTGCCAGCAGTGCCAGGCAGGACTGGAGGTGGAGCCGGTGCGCACGGGCACACGCAGGGGATGACCGAGGAGGAGATTGCCCAGCAGATTGCACTTATTACGCACGATCTCATTGGGGCTTCGGCACCGCTATCTGCTAATGTCGTGTTTGGCCGACGTGCCTGCATTTTTCATCTCTACCCCAGGGAGGATGACTCGGATGAGGAGCCGATATCCGAGGCAACAGATGACCCTACGCTCCGCATTCCCCGCGAGATCGATGAGATGCACGACGATCCAGAGGACGAGGAGACGAGACACACACCGCACGACGGGCGGCGGACCAAGTGGACAGGGAGATGCTGAGGGGAGACGAGGATTTTTTGGGCCCTTTCGGGGAGGTGGCTTCCACGGGTGATGTGCGTGATGACAGAGGAAGGGGCTTGCATGCAGGCACGAACCGGACAGAGGCGCGGATGACGACTCCTGCTCCGACGAGGCCAGAGTCGTCCATGCCACCACCTCCAACTCCGAGTCTTGCACCACCATCGCCTGTCTCGCCACATGAGCCGGCCACTGCAGCGGTGGACACGAAGGCGTTGGCATCCTCCTTGCCTCAGCACGGACTTCTGCAGAGACCTGTGGTGATCCGTCGACTGAGGTTACGATCACCTTCCCCGGGGATGTTGTGGGAGGAGGGGGTACCATCAGCAGCACCAGTGGAAGGGGAGTTGGCAGCAGCGGAAAGGGACGTAGTAGCAGCAGCAGCCGTGGAGGGCGAGGTGGCAGCAGTGGAGGGGGAGGTGGCACCAATGGAGGAAGAGATAGCAGCAGCAACGGAGGAGAAGGTAGCATCAACAACAACAGTGGAGGGGGAGGCGGCAGCGGCGGAGGAGGAGATAGCAGCAGCGACACAAGTGCAGAATGTTGCCATGTAGTGTGATGGTGCAGACGACGTTGAGGGTCGTGAGGTCGTCGAGGAGCGCCTCATGCAGTAGTTCATCACAGAGGAGCTCGATCCAGTCGTGGCGGGTATCACCCTAGGTGTGGCGAGGGGGTTGGGGATGTCGGATTCAGAGATGGGGACCCACTTCGACTTTGATATGTCGACGGGCCTTTCCCCTAGTTGCGGCGGGGTGGCATCGACGGATCAGGCACCACCGAGGGACGACACGGCAGGTGAGACGGGGACACAGACCCCGAGAGACAGGACGGTGCCAGAGTCTCCAGATGCAGCACGCGACATCATGGAGCGAGAGAGGGCTCGACTGATAGCATCCAGCGACCGACCGTCGTGCTCAGGCATTTGCACGAGCCTTAGAGGAGCGCAGGCGTCGAGAGACAGGGAGAGATGGTGGGCAGGGTGGGGCAGTGGTGGGGGAGGAGGCAATGGAGGTCGTGGCAGCAAATGCGGAGGAGGGGATGGAGGGTGGGCCACAACTAGTGGATGAGGCTATGGAGGGTGGAGAGGGGCTATGCGAGGGGTCTGGAGACGCACCGGCAGAAACTCGGGAAACACAAACGGGTCCAGTCGTCCCGTTCTCGGGTCTGCATTTGGTCGAGGCCTGGCAGTCGCAATCGGCTGAGGTAGCAGTGCATTATGTGCCACCTGTTATCATCGAGGATTTGGGGTCCGAGCCGATGGTTGTGCGTCCACATCCTCGGCGACCGGCTCAGCAGGAGGTCGATCATTCATTGGATGCTGAGGAGTTGGCAGCGGCTGCTATGCGCGATGTGACACGACTAGACCGCTGGGTATTTAACCCGAAACTCGAGCAGCCAAAATGGCAGAAGATTCCTTCGGTTCCATGGGGCCCTACGTCGCCAGTGTGGTCCAAGTCTACCTCCAGCGGACGGCCGAGCAGGGCAGACGTTCCAGGGGTTTCGGGGGGCGTGCAGGATAGACCGCTAGGTACATGAGATATGCCACCCCCTCCTCCTCGACCACGTGAGGGTGATCCATCGTCGTCACCCACCGCTCGAGGCTCTCCAGCCCCACACACACTTGGGAGATCGAGGGTTCGTGACACGACAACGGTTGGGCGAGATGTGAGGGACACGGCATTGTACAGGAGGACAGATACAGATTTGGATTCCACCCGCCATGTCACTAAGCGCACTGCTCGCCTTCAGCCGGGGTTGGGTCACCGTGGCGGCAGAATTACCGGAACGAGGGAGGTTGCAGCAACAGGTTGTGAGCCTCAGCGAGGTCAAGGTGGAGGAGAGTCCACCTCGACCTTGGACCACTCTTTTAGAGCAGCGATGCGTGTTGTGCATGAGCAGACTCCGCACAAGTATGGAGTGCCTCGTCCACGCTTTGTGCATGTCCACGCTTTGTGCATGTCCACGCTTTGTGCATGTACAGGGACGCGTTGGACTTGGAGAGTCTTCGGGGGCGGAGGGGTTGGGGATGCCTCATGGATCCCGCCGTCGGCAGACGGTCACATAGGCTAGTGCGAGGGTTGTTGTGTTGAGGAAGGGAGGCGGCTCTGTCACCATCGAGGAAAATGATCCTGTACTTAGTCTTTTGAGGTAGCATATAACTGAACTGATCAACTTAGTTCAATGTTCAGCCTGCCCCTTCTTACCATCAGTTTATTCTTAGTTCGTACTCTCTTCAGTTCGTGATAGGCCTATTGTCAGGCCACCCAAACTTATGGGACCCTGCCTGGCTAGCCTGTTCATAGATAAAAATAGTAATAGAATATAACCAAATTATAACCTTTCGGTTCCAACATGTGTGAGGCTTTGAGTCAGACCACTTGAACTTACAGAACAGTTTGGCTCTTTGTCTGATTCATTCCTCTCTAATTCAACTTGTGCGAGGCATTGGGCTAGACCACCTAACTTAAACTTATAGAATGGTCAGCCCTCTGTCTAATTTACCCCCTCAGAATAAAAGCAGGAAGAGGCAGAGCCACCTAAATTTATAGAATGGCTTAGACCTCCTCATTCAGAACCAAACAAACAAAAAAACCCCAAAATAAACAAGGCAACCAAGACACCTAAACTTACAGAATGCACTTGGCCCCTGAAAAAGTCAAGCACAATTAGCTCTCGCAAGTCAGAGCAACCAAACCACCGAAACTTATAGAATGACCTGATCCTCAAAATAGTCCCACAACACTAGGTCATCCCAAACTTATGGGGACTTCCCAGCCTTCAGAACAATCAGACCACCTAAACTTATAGAATGGTCTGATGCTCCACACAATCCAAAATAAATATAGCACTAGGTCTCCCCAAACTTATGGGGATTTCCCAGCCTTAATGACTCAGTCAAACTTTAAAGTAATAATGTCTTCCTCCCAGCCTTCCCCCAGATGCATTCCCTTTTTACAACCTGCTTTCAGTCAAACAACAAAACTGAAACTGAAACTCTTCACACATGCTTTTACTTAGTCTGGTTATGTCCTGAAAGTCATACTAAAAGTCAAAGTAAGGATGCATGCAATATACTCAGTCAAAACGCAACAGGGAATACAAATAGGGGTTATACTGGGTTTATAGAAAGAAAGCGATGGTTACCTTTCAGTTCCCTGCCTCCAGAACTCCTCCTGAGTTCCGCCAGAGCTCCCACAATCGGTGGGCAGACTCCCCACAAAGTCTTGCTGCGGTCCTATGGGTTGCAATCCCGCCTGCCGCCTTCCTCTCAGATCAGGACTAGACTTAGAATAAGAAGGGTAGAAGATGAGGGGTCTCAGACGCTTGAGATACAAGAGGGGGACAACTCAACTCTCAGGAGAGGGCCTTGATACCTTTACTCGCCTGAGGGCCCCGCAATGATGGCCAAGCAGTAGCAGCTTGGTGAACTCCTGAAGTCACACTGTCAAAGTCAACCCTCTGCCGGCCTCCCAAATCACAACACTAACCTCCCTTCCCAAGATCAATCACTCCTCTGAGTCCTAGCACTCCTCCTTAGCCCAATCGCCGCTGCACAAGAAGCTGTAATAGTTGGCAATAGCTGGTGGCAGTATGTAGTAGTACGCAGCAACCAACAGCAGGCAGCAGCAGTATGAAGCCGCCAGCAGTTGGCCACAGTTTGTGCACAGTCAAAAGCAGCAGTTGTGCACAATCAACAACAACAGCAGTCTTTCGTGCACATCCAACAGAAGCAGCCGCCGTGCACAGTCAAGACAACAGCAACAGTTTCCCACAGTCCGTAGCAGCTAGCAGAAGCAGCAGCAGTACACAGCGCACAGCAGCAACATGCAGTAAAGCAGCGGGGTGCAAGGCAACACCAACAACCCGGTCACACCGCATAGCGAACTCAGCAGCCCGCGAAGAACCATATGCGAAGCAAGTGGGACACAGGCAGCGGGGCAGTGGTGGAGCGCAGACAAAAACGCCCAGACATCCAACACTCAGCAAGCAACGCGCGACCTACTCACGTCACGATTGAACCCCGCAGGCTGTTGGTTCCCACCACCCACAGAGCCAAGGGGTCACTCCGTCAAACACCCATCACCACCTTTCCCCATCTCTCCCTTATCCTTCCTCCAATTAACCTGCATCTGCCATACCCGCACTCCAGACAACTCTGCCAATCACCGAAAGGGAGTCGCCCGCCAATCGAAAATGGACGCCGCAGGCAGGTAAACTCCCACCCGTTTTCTCTGTCTGTTCCCACCTGGCCGCCAATCCGGCTAGGTTCACAACATATCTCGCTGGGATAGCCACGACGAGACACGACTGCTACGGGTGAAGAGGATCGTGGAGGGCATGACGAACACCGACTTGAGTATGATGGCCAATACCATCACGATCGAGGCGGCCATAATAATCAGCACCACGTTGAGGTTGAGCATGATATCCCTCTCGTACGGGCATGTCCGATGAGAATGAACCTTCCACTTGGGCATGGAAATATACGTATCTCCTCGATCACATGCACTCCCAGGTAAGTATCGTTCTCCTCATCACTATCTCGGTCGCTCCCTCTTCACAATCTCAGTCGTCCTACCTCTTCGCTATCTCAGTCGTCCTCCCTCTTCGCTATCTCAGTCGTCCTCCCTCTTCGCTATCTTAGTCGTCCTCCCTCCTCGTACTCTCAATCTCGCTCCTTCCTCGTAACCCCGGTAATCTCGATTGGTTCTCTATAGGGGGAGCCCATCTACTGCATCATGCGCTCCTGACCACGTGCGTGCCTAAGTAGAGAGACCGAATGAACCTACTGCCAGAGTACGGGTAGGTTCATTTCCTTCCCATCACCTAACCTCACTACCACTCCTGCAATGACTTCCACGCTGCCCGTTTTGTCTCTAACTATAATCCTACTAACTTCCTGCTCCAACTAACTACCGAATTGAATTCGCTCAGGCCTGAAACCTCTAGTTTAGCTTTCGATCCGCCCATTCCTACTCAGACACGAGCAAGAGCAGCCCTCTTCCTCTTCACCATATTTATAACTCCGATGCCTCTCCCGCAACACTTTTTCTTACTAACTTCTAACCTACTAACTCTTCACGGGTTCTGGCTTCAAAATCGTACTCGCCTCACCTTCAAACCCCAGTTTTGATTCCTCCCTCACCCAAATCCATTCGGAGATGCGCGAGATACCCCTTTTTCTACCTCCCTCCTTTCACCATTTCCATGCTCCAACAGCTTCGCGCGGGGCTTTTCTCTTCTACCTCCTGACTGACTTCCTTACTGCTAAAACTAACACCGAAATCGAATGCGCCTGTCTCAAAAACCCCAATTTCGACACTCGGTTTGCCGGGAACTCGAATCTTTTTCCCCCACGCTCCCACCTACATCCGCCATCTTCATCCTCATGTTCTGAATGCACCTTGGCGTGGACCCCGTCCAGGTTCATTCACCCTTTTTCTTTCGCGTAGTGCTAGCGCTTGCTTTGCCTTCTTCCTTGCGCCCGCCGCTCCTCGCTTTCACTATCGGTCCCCCAGTCCCCCAACGCAGCTACCTCCCTTACTGCTCCGACCAGCCTGAGGAAAAAAGTCCCAAACGAACCAACTACAACACGATTCGATTAGTCTCCCGCCCCTATACCCAACTCC